AGAATCGGACGATAAAGAAAAATTCGCAAGTTTGTCGAAACGGATGCAAAGATAGGGGAATGTGTGACGATCTCCACGCGCGGAGGAGGACGATTTAAGGCTACGTGTGGTCTTTCTTTAGCTCGTTTGAGGTATAAACAATATTGTAATTGAGGATTAACGAGAGAATAGCATGCGGACCGCTACCTCGTTTACCGAGGAGAATCGATTCGTTGAACAGCATTTAGAACAGAGATTCTCAATCGTATGGACGTTGCACGTTTTTATCGTGTCTTTAATATTATTGATCGATAAGAAGAAGGTAAATGTAAGATGAATCGAAACAATATTCTTATTGTTCGTTAGAAAGTTAATCGTCAATCACAGTTTAAGAATAAGTCGTTGCAAAGTTTTCCAAGTGTTGTTTAATTGAAATGGTGATATAAGAGACGTTTGATCGATGCATTTAATTTCCCTCTAATCTTGGAAAAGTTAACACGTCAACCCCCTCGATTTCCCTCGGTTGCGGAGCGATGCATTAACCTATCAATGTGAAAACAACTTCCTCTCTCCAACAGCACGCGAATCGAGGAGAAAGTCTCTTTTTGCAACATGCTTCGACACGAACAGAAGAAACATTTTCCTCTTTTATATACGTGAAAATTCTTTCGTAGTTTCGAGGCTACGATTCATCACGTTAGAATTCCATTCCGCGTGTCTTCTCATCCTCGCGTCCACGATATCCGGTTCTCCCGCCAGTGACGGATCAAGAAGGTAGATATACAAAATATATAATAAATTATAAATTATACTTTTCACTCGTTTTTTTTTCACACATTAATTAATAAATAAATCATTTACATATTCGAAATAATAGAATAATTATCTCTGATTAAAATAAAGAAAACTAAGTGAATGTTAACATTGATAACAAGATATTTTACAATATATAATTATTCATGATTTATTTATATTTCTCATCCTTTCAGACGAATAAATTAAAAACTATAAAACTATATGCATAATTCACGGATAAGTAAAGCTAAAAAGAAGAATAAAAAAAAAAAATTGCGAGCGATTAGTTTAAATTTTCAGTTCAAACGTGAAATGATATTTATATAACAATCTATATATAACTCTTTCCTTATCCTCGCCCCCCTTCGTTACATCCGTCCCTGTCTTGCGATTGACGTCGCAAAAAGAAAAGACCAGCGGAAGGCTTGGACAACGAGTCGAGGAACGTTTTAATCGCTGTGATTTCGTTGTTGGCTAACGATGGGATAACGATCGCTATATTCCCCGACGAGGTGGTACGAGATACGGCCGCGGATAAGGGCATGCTTCGCGTGCTGATCGCGGTGGAACGCGAAGACAAAGTTTGATTTCGCGGGTGTTGCGTTACCGTTTAACATCGCTTAATTAATACGGGTACGTACATAGAGAGCTACGTACGTACGCGCAAATCGCGAATCGCGGGGAGTGAACGCGGGCTGATCGAAATCTCGTCACGAAACGAGCCGACGTTTCTCATCATGCGATGAATTTTAAAGCCCTGTGACAAATACGCGAGTGGCAATTCTTCCTTTAACGAGAAGAATCCGTGACATCATCGTGGCGAACGTGAAGATACTCGATGGATAATGAGCGTTTCCCTTTCTGATTCACCTTTTATTCCATATATTCCATAATTCGTTTGGAGTTTAGTTATTTAGTTGTTTATTTACTTCAATTAATTGAATCGTTCGACGATTAGATTTGGATAGGTTTTTTTAATCAGGAATAAAAATTGTTATATGTTGTTTGGAATGGAGCGGAGAGAGGAGGGATACGAAACGAAGATTTTTGGAATTTGTAACGTGTTATTTCGTCATTTTCTTGATATTAATATCGCTACTTCGGATCGTGTTACGAAATATTTGATAAGAACAGATCCAACTCGAATGGGTATAATATCGAAATGTGAATATTGTCGATCATTTCGTTTCTCTATATATTATCAAAATACACGAGAGGATAATCAATCCCTATTGATATAATAACTAAAATTTCAATTCCAATTTCAATTCTCGTCGATACTAATTCTATGATAAATCCAATTTTGTTTCATCGACACCAGTTCTCAAATTGTTTGATCGTACTAATAAGACGTTAAATAGAAAATCTTCGAAACGGTCGATAACAACCGTGCTACGTAAAAATGGCGAAGTGAAAGTTTTCCAGGTAATACTGGAATCGTCAAATATTACGTAACAGTTGTTTCTAGAATTATCTATCCGATACCAAAAGAAAAATCTTCAACAAATTATCTTTCATCTAAGTCTTCTTAATTTCTTAATTTCAAATCCGATATTAAAATTATTATAATATACTTTTCCCTATGTAAATAAATAAATCGTTTAAATTCAAATCTATCAAAAGATTCCAAATCTATCAAAAGTTCCAAAATTCCAAAAAATGCGAAACATCATTCGAAATCCAATTTGATATCCGCAGGAAAGTATGTAATTAGACGAAAGAAATCTCTCGTCACGTAAGGATAGAAAAACTGAAACTGAAATCGATCTAACATCTTATCAACGGTATCACGACAGATCGCAATCGAGAACGATGAAACGAGAGCGCCGCTTAAAGACACCGCGACACGATTTCCTCGAGCCGTCCCTACTTGATCGACGTGGCGCACGCTTTTGATTGTTATTGATCAATCGTTTCGGCGTGTATTATACTTACACGGGTGTAGTAAAAGTGAGAGGACGTATAATATGCACACACCGTGCGACACACACACACACACACACGTGCAACAGAGAGAAAACTGGCACGCCACGCGGCTCTATAACGCTGCCACGACACAACGAATATATAGAGACGGCGGATCTTAATGAATCTTTATGGGATGGTGTCGTGAACTTGTGTACCCTCCGGTGACTGACTGAACCCGGCCAACCAACCAACCATTGGCGCGCCACACCACTCAGCTTCTGGGATGCTTCTCCATTCTCGTTTATTCCCTCTCGTCTTTCTCGTGTTCAAACAGAAGGGAAAATCGTGGCAACTCTGGCGTGTCGAGACACGTTCGAAATATATCGAACTTGATATTAAGAATGAGTCGATTTTCGTTTGCTTTAATCGTTTCAGGCTTTGGAGAGATTTCCGGAAAGGAAATAGGCGAGAGGATTTTTAACTTTTGAAATTTTTGGAATTTTTCTTTTAGATTAGAATTAGTTTTTTTAGAAAGTTGAAACGTTTTCGACGAGTTTGTTGGAGATTGTCGGAGGACGAGTGTAAATTAAATTTAACGGAGAAAGAAGTTTTGAAGTTTTTAGAAAATGGTAATAAAAATTTGGAGGGAGCAGGTGCGGCATGTAAATTAATCGGTAAGAAGAATCTAGACATGCAAATTCGTCGGAATAAAATTATCGCGGAACGGATACGCGACAAAGATAGTCCCGAATATCTTTCAAATCCATCATCGTGGCTTCTATCGTGGTTCGAGACGATAGAATTTCGATTCGAAAAAGAAAAAAAAGAAACAAGGAAGAGAGGGCTACGCCAATGCGACGAGTTGCTCATTAGCCCGAACGATGGCGTTGCCGCGTGTTTGATAGTGTGTTGACGCGCGCTCGTCGGTGTTCGTAAAATTTGAAGGGCGTGCAGAAGGTCCGTGGGGTCCCGACGAGTCGCGTCTTGATTGTCATCAAGCCGTTTCTCGTCGCGTGATATCGTCATTAACGCGCCAAGCCCTGAAGAACGCCGTCGATCTCGTACACGCGGAGACCGCGTTTCGTCCATCGATCCGCGCCGATCGATCCATTCGAAACCTTCTCACGATCCACGCCACTTCGATCCTCGTGCGATCGATAAACATTCGACGAACGTCGATGGGAAATCCACGTCGATGATTAGAGGAATAATTTATTTCTTTTTTTATCGCGCGATTCGTCGTTTATCTCTCTTATTCGTCTCTTCTTATCTCTTCTTTTTTAATTTTACTCCATTTATAATATAATGATAATTTATAATAAATAAACGCGGAGTTTTATGGCAAGATAAATTTTTTTTATAAATCGGTTGATGAAATGAAAGTTGGGATATTAAATTGACGTGAAAGATTCATTTCAACGTGTACAATTGTGAAAAGAAAGCGAAAGTGATTTGAAGGATTTATTCAATTAGGTGTATTTGAGCTAACTTTAACGAGTTGCATTTTTGAAGAGATTATTGATCTCTGTTGTTGGCAATTTTTCAAATTTTTACGACGAATGAATTAAGATGTTTCTCTTATCGAACGTTTGAGGAAACGTCGATCGCGATTAATGGCGGACGGAGCGACCATGAATCGTGACAGATTAAATCTAATGACTATCTCGGTGGATAAAAACGGAGATATGGTAATTTAATAGGGGATTAAATTGAGTTGGGGATCTGTTATCGAATTGTTGGAAGCTAGTAAATTCATTCGTAGTTTCTGGACTTCGATGAAAGATTTTATTTACCCAAGGATCTGGTATTTCAGTTATTATCGCTGGCAATTATCAAACTATCATCCATTGATAGAATTTATAGAATGTTGCATCGACTTAAGTCACGATAAATTATCAACTTGTTACGATACGGCTAGAAACTAGCATCATTTATAAAACTCTTCAATTAAAAATTCTACCTTCTACTTAATCCTTAATCTTTACTCGTCGCGTACTTTTAACTCCCTTCGTTTCAAATTCTAATTATTTAATCAAATCGAAAAATCTACTCTATCGAATTGTAATATGAAATCTTTTTTTTTTAATAAAAATTATTCCTCACCAAAATTAATAAAACATCAGCCACTATATTATACCCTTTAAATTACTTTTCTCATTATACCAAATTCATACTATACTAAATCAAAAATATCCACTTCCACTTCTAGATTCGATTTTATCACCACAATTACCTACATTCCCTTTCATAAAAATTCTCGACTACCATTCTAAATAAAAAAGAAAAAAGAAAAGAAAAAAAAAAAAAGAATCACTCACCGGGATCCGAGGAGTCCAAACTAGCGGGCGCCTGTGCGCTGAGGGGTCCAGGTGTGCCCCCGCTTCCGGGGCTGCGCGCGTCCTCGTTGCCACCCGCGCCAGGGTACGACAGCGACGAGGAGGGTGGCCTCTGCAACAAACAAAAAGACGACACGAGCGTTTCGAGCGTACGTTTGAAAACAACAACAACAACAATTGCAACTCTAATCCCCTTGTCGCACGAGGCGATCGAAACGACTACGAGGGAATCGCGCGACACGATCGTTCGGAAGAGGAGCCCTCCCCCCTCCCTCCCCTCCCTCTCTCTCTCTCTCTCTCTCTATCTGGGACCGTCAGACACACGTCACGTCCGCGGGAGAAAGGGTTGTTCCGCGAGGCGTGCGCGGGCAATACCGCGCTGGCCCACGCGGTACACTGAAATACCATTGACGGGGGGGCCCGCTACGGGCCGATTTCGATCTCGATTAAAGGCGGAGCACACGTACCACCGCCACGAAAATGCCCACCGCATAAACGATCGGGACGGGTGGACGCGCGATCCTTACGAATAAACGATAAACGCGTCGGCAAACGTTGAATATTCTCTCTCTCTCTCTCTGTCTCTCTGTCTCTCTTTCTCTCTCCTCGTCTCTCTCTGCTCGATTATTCCGCGTGTGTAGCCGGTGTGATAATCAGCCCGAGCCAGCCCGTTCGGGAAAATACGCACACGGCAAATTGCTGGCCCCGTGCGAGGAATACCATACCATGGTCGAGGGGGGGATGGGAGAGGGGGGCCTATGGGTATATCGGGGAGCCTAATTGTTCCGTTTAGATTGCGTGAGATAGATCTGCGAAACGAGGTTCGAGATTTCGGCGAGAAAGGAGATTTGGAAAATTTCGCAAGAGTCGTTTTTCTTTTTTTTTTTTATTAATCAATGCGATGATTGATTATTCGTTCGGACGGATGCCATTTTAAGGAGTAAGGAGTAAGGAGTATGGATTATAATTTTTGCCAATGGAATTTTTATGCTCTTGATCATTCTGACTCTATTGTTACTTCATTGTTAAAGAAGGATACATTGGTATACATTGTACTTTTAATCGGATAAAGTCGAACGAGTATGTGTAAATTGTAACGAAATAAAGTTGGAATATCTAATTCTCGGTCTTGATGATGTTGGAGAAGAGAAGGGCGTATAATAGACGTCAATAATTTTTCTTTTCCTTTTTTTTCCCATAAATGGACGTATTAAAATCACATGAAGGTATCGGATACGAGGATGCATCGACAGAATATGAAATATTAATAAAAGAGGATCCCCGAAGAAGAAACGAACGATTCGAATCGATCGCTTCATTTCTCAATCACGTCATGAAACTTTCCTTCCATCACACGCATCGAACGCAAGCAAAATAATAATCCGGCTGTGACACGTTGCTCGTGCGCATTTCTATTCCACAAACCGTACGTGTAATACGAATCCAACACCTCCAATACAAATTCGTTTCCCTTCCTCCTCCTTCCCTCTCCTGCTCATCGAATAATAAAATAATCCAAACGTATCGTGAAAAAAGTACCATATATATATATATATGGAAAATTTCCAATTGATTTTTATCAGAGAATTCCGTACGAGAGAAATGATCGAGGATCTCTTCCAAGTGTTTCAGGCATACGTGTTTATGCGAAAAGCAACGGTATCGATCGTGGCCCGAGGTCGTAGGATAAGAATTCCAGGCAGGCCGGTGGTATCACGAAGCGAAATGTCTGGATATATCACGTCTGGTGGGGCAACAATGAGTGACAGCTGACTCCCACATGCTGTCACAGGCGTCATCTTCGCGATAATGTACCCGACTCCGGTCCCCCTCTCTCTCGATTGGTCGTATCTGGTTAAAATCGTTACACGGTCAAATCTATAGGACCTTCCTGCTGCTGTCGGAGAGTCACACTCGCGCGGGTGAGGGGCGATGCGCGCGCGATGTGTATCGATGAGGGAAACGTTTGAGGGGAAGAAAAAATAAAAAAGAAAAAAAAAAGAAAGAAAGAAAGAAAGAAAGAAAGAAAGAAAAAGAAAAATAAAAACGACGAAGAAACGACGTTGACGGATCGCCGTTGAAATTCCTGGTGAGAATTTTCTTGCCGAATGGAAATTTCTGATTTGAAGGGATTCGACGAGCGAATAATTCTCTTCGAATCAATGCGTGTTTTTTAAAAATATTAGGATATCCAGTATATTAGACTTTGAAAGAAATAACGGAGCTTGTTCGTGATGAATATTTTCAGAGTCGAGAACGAGTCGAATAGAAAATTTTTCATCTCCTCGTAAATATCTATCCATCTTCTTGCTCGCTCCTTGTATCTTTCGATCGACGCTTCTATCACACTTATATCATTCGCATACACGTGGATCGATGACGAATCCCGCAAATTCTCTCTCTCTTTCACAATTATTGAAACGAAACGAAAGCAATAATAATAATCGGTGTTGGCCCCGATTAGATACGATTAATCTAGATTTAATGGGAAGGAAAATTGAATAGGCACAAGTTTGTACACGTTCCAATTAATTCCACATAATTCTCGTCCGGGACGTCTTAATTTTCATTTGAAGGGGCCCCGCGATCGCTCTCGTCTCCCCGGACACGAAGAGGATATAGTGTACGCCGCGCGACCGACTATATACAAGAGCGGGAACAAGCGGGAATGGGGGGACATTAATAATGCATCGGTTGTCGCTGGATTGCTTCCTACTAGCAGCAAGTACGAAACAAAAGGGTGAGATGCTTGTCATTGTCACCTACGAGGCGAAGATCATCTTGTCGGCCGCGATCGTTCGGATCGGCGAGTTTAATCCGGACGTGTTGACGAATCGATTAAAATCTATCCCTTTGAAATGAGGAAAGACGGTACGTTATAAAGTGAAATCGAAGACGATTATTAACGTTTTAAAATTGTTTATCTCACGGAGAGAGAAAGAGAGAGAGAGAGAGAGAGAGAGATTAATTTAAGATAATAAAGTTAAATTTTTAAATCTAACTATGATCTTGAAGTATGGATTAAGGACATACTCGTATTCAAGTAACTCTTTTCTTTACGAACGACAGTGTACAGTGCGATTGCCATTTGTCAATTGTTTATACGAGCGCATCGCGGTGGTCAATGAAATCGATGTAACGGGTGAGCTTATCTTAATCTACTTTCCCAGGGATTTGAGAACAACGATCCTTTTTTTTTTAGAATTTTTATTCCATTTTTTTTTTTTTTTTTAGAAATTTTATTTTACTTCCAAGGGAACCAAGAGATATTGAACGAATCAATTTTTATACAAGGTATCCCAAATTTTATCAACAGGAATTTTATCTCGAAATTTTTTACCGAAAACTATTGTATTATCAAAGGATATTTAATCGTACGCAATTTTCAATCATCTTCAGAAACTAACTAAATTTTTCGATCCATATGACTTTTAGACGCGTATCTTATATTAACTCTGACCCGTTATACATTTTGAATGCCGGCCACGGTGCGATATGTGTTTATATAAACAGTTGGTAAGTGGCGATCGCACACACGTTGCTCATGGAAGCACACACGTATAAGAAGAATTCAATGGTATAGTGGCAAAACGGTTTGAAGGTGGATTTTGGCCCCCGGTGACGTCACTTCCTACTAAAGTCCCGCCGGTCTTTTTTCGTTTTTTAAATGGACAGGCAAGGGTCCGGCTGCGTGACTCGTGTCGATGCAATGATAAACGGTTAACGGGTCGACGGGCATACGCGGTCTCGTTCCACCTCGTTGCCCGGCCTCTCTATCTCTCTCCCTCTCCCTCTCCCTCTCCACCACCTCCTCTCTCTCATCTGCCCATCTCACTGTTTTTATCTACCACTCCGTCTACAGGCGCTCTTAAAGCGTAATTCGACAAACCGGATGTCTGGTCTGCCCCCTTAAATAAATCAGTTTGCCCGCATCTCATATTCCACCCCCGCTCTGGCCGAGTCTCCGCCAGAGTTTCCTTCCCGCTCGCCCTTCCCGCCACGGAAAACGCGGGGTCGAAAGGAGAGAAAATGAAAGAAAAAGAAGAAAAAGAAAAAGAAGAAAAAAAAGGCGACGATGATGGCGTGATCTGTGACGAAACCGGGGCCGACGATTGGGCCGCTATCATCCCGAGTGAAAGGAGTAACGCGTGATCTCATCGAAAGTCTGTGGAAATACACCGACTTACCGATTTATTGTGAAACGAGGCTTTTTAAATAACTCGCCTCGATCTCCACAATCTTTGCATAACGTTGCAAACATACGAATTTTTTTCGTATTCACGAGATTTCTCGTAATCAATAATCTCTTCGATCATTGCCTCTTTTCGCTTGCAATTAGCCGGATGTTTACAAAGATTAGATTACACTTTCGGATCTATTTACGTTAGAAATTAGAGAAAACGCGTGTAAAGAAGGGAATACGGCGGAACAGAGAGCTCTCTAGCTAGAATACATAAATAAGATTGCATAAGATTATTACGCGTCGCGACGAAGATTTATCGCTTGGATGAGGCGTGTATAACGCGGAGGTAGTGATCGAGTATCACTAATTGATCGATAGATCTGTCAACGGATCTGGAACGATCGGTGTGAATGGCATTCTTGGATAATTAATCGATAATAATCCCATTATTTAATAATACATACAGCCTATATATATTTTTTTTACAGCCTATATATATATATATAAATCAAGGATCTTTCAAAACAACTTTCCATTTCATTCATTCGAATAGAAACAACTGTATATCGCGTACAAGGAGCCTCGTTCCTCGATTTCGTGTTCAACAAGAAAAATTTCCATCATCGATCATCATCGATCGTCCTGATCCGCTTCGGAAGATGGTAGCCGAGAGGAAAAGAGAGGTTCCGGAAGAAAGGACGACGGTAGAGTGGAATGGAACAATGGTGATGACACGCGCGCGGGCTATAAATTATAATAAAGGCCGATGTTGGAAGCGCGGACGGGCGCGACGCTGGTTCGCTATCGGCGCGTCGATCGCGAGCCGATGACTTACGCGCTCGCGCGCCTCCTCGAGTCATTGTACCCACGTATTAATTGGTCGTCGTAACATAATGCCGTATAATTATGTAATTAGCGGCCGAGCATTA